GATGTTAACGTGCATGTGGGCTCTCTTTCACATTCGCGTTCCCAACCCAGCACCGCTGGGTTATAGATCAAGACCAATTTTCAACCCAAATTGGGTTAAAACAACCCAACTTCCTTAACCAGCGGTCTCAACCCAGCGTTTGGGTTGAAAAAACAACCCAGCGTTTTTAGAGTGTACCTTACTATTAATATCCAGCAAATTAGTTTGAGGCAAAAGTTGCAGTTAATAGTTAGTTAGTTAGTTAATAGTGAGAATTGGTCCCCAAACTAAAGTGTGACCAATAAGTTAATTCAGTATTAATGTCAAGTTTGTTTTCATCCACAAAATATTTAATTAACAGACATTGTGTATTCATATACTTTTGTGTATCAGACATATTCGCTATGATATAATTTAAGATTTATTTATAAATATTGGCATGGATTGCTTCTACAATAACTCTGTATTTTTTAAGCTTGAAAATACTGATTATCTAAACTTTCAATGGATTAACAAAAAATTCTGAGAGAAAATTAAAAAATATCTTCATTTGTGAAGTCTTATAGGTTTGGAATGACATGAGGGCAAGTGAATTATTTTTTTTGTGTGAACTATTCCTTTAAGAAAGGAAGACCAAGAATGATGACTCTCCAAATCAGACAACTCCAAAGTTGGTTTGAGTTCTGCAATGAAAAACACGGACATCAATGGTTTAAATAAAATATTAACACGTAATCATACTGTTGTTGCTTTAATTAACAGACATTGTGTATTCATATACTTTTGTGTATATCTTAGGTCGTGTAATAGTTATTGTTCACAAATTATATTTGTATTTGTTGTCTGAATGCTGTTTTCTCTTTTCTTTATTCTGAATCTTCTTCAGAGCACAGTCGATTACAGAATGAACACAGTCAACTACACTATGAACACAGTCAACTACAGGATGAGAAGAGGAGACTACAACATGGTGAATTTATCTTTATTACTTTATTAATTCATTATTCATTTAAGGTCAGCCATAAAATACAGTTTTAACTGTGTGTATTCATTTATTTTGTGTATATCTTGGGTCTGGTAAATGATCACCAGTTGTTTATATAATGTATATTTATTCAGCTACTGTCATGGCTGGTTGCAAAAACAATATATAGAGCTGGATCTAAGTGCAAGCAGTATTGTTTAGTGAAAAAACACAAAAGAAACAGAGCACACTGGCAAAAAACACAGCAAACTGAGCAACCAACTTAAAAATGAGACGATAACACCAATAACGAACCAAAACCAAGGCTATAAATACACAAGGGCATAATTACCTAAACATAGGACAGGTGTAACTAAATCAGTAACAAAGGCAACAAACACAGTGATTAACACAGGTGAGAAAATTAAAACTAAAGAAACATGCACAGAAACACAAAACAGAACCAAACCCTGACACGTACCAGGGGCTTGTACCATGACAGTGGCCGAACTCAGGAGATGGTCCTCACTGCAGAACACAAGATCCAGGGGGGTGAGGTTGGATCCAGATCCAACTCCTCCCACCTTCCATATCCCTAAACCTACCATCTCCACCCCCTGGATGGATCTTGTGTACTGCAGTGAGGGGCTACTGGAACTCAGGGTTACAGGATTATTTTTGAGTTGATCACCAACTTTCTCTGTCAGATCAGTTTCAGTAGAGTGCAGACGACGAAAACCAGACTGGAATTTATCAAACACATTATACCCATCTAAAACAGTTGTAAGTTCATTAACAACTACTTTTTCCAGGACCTTATATATATATATATATAGGTTCATAATTTTGGGGCAAAGATGGATCAAGATTTGTTTTCTTGAGAATAGGTTGAACAACAGCTTGTTTTAGATAAATTTGTCACGGAATGTCAGGAGAAAACAAGGTTAGATCCAATTGCAGTTTATTAAAGAACAAATAAACAGAACAGAACAAAAACGTGGCAAAAGGTAATCCAAAACACAGGGAACAGAAAACACGATGTAACCTCAAACAATACTGCAGCAAAGACAGACAGAGTGAGCATGGTATAAATAGTGATGGGATGATGAGTAAATTACTAACAGGTGATCATGATCAGAACAGAAACGACCTGCAAGGGACTATGGGAAATGGAGTTCAAAACATGTAATACTGAAACGGGAGAGCACCCTCAAGTGGCTAGTCCAGGGCACCACAACCAGACACTGTGACATTACCCACCCTCTACGGAGCGGATACCAGACGCTCCACCAGAACACATAAAAGTTCAGGAGGGAGGTGGAACTGAGGCGGACCAGGGGGAGGGACTCTGTGAGCTCCCGGACTGGAGCGGGCTCTGGAGTGGGCTCTACTGTCCTCCTTCTCGCCCTCCGCCGCTTAGTGGGAGTCTGAAGGGTAGAGGTGGTGGGAAAATCCCTGCGGAAGGGTTCTGATTGGCCTGGTATTGCCCACTGACTTCGACCATGGAGATACTTGGCGAAGCCCCAGAAGTCTAGGATCCCAAGTCCTTCCATCTCCCACTGGGGCAAAGGATCATCCAGACAGACATTAAGGAGGTCCTTAAGTGCAGCCTCATCATCACTCAGCCCC